TTTGTTGCCCTTGGTAGAGTGATAGGACATAACAGCTCACAGCAACCTCAAACTCTTGTGCTTAAGTGATTCTCTTTCCTCAGCCTCCCAAGTAGCTAGGACTATAGGTGCCTGCCACAACACCTGACTATTTTTTTTGAGACGGGGTCTTGCTCTTTCTCAGGCTGGTTTTGAACCCATGAGTTCAGGTGATCCATCCGCCTTGGCCTCCCAAGTGCTGGGATTACAGGCGGGACCCACTGTGCCCAACCACCCCTTTGCCCATTTCTGACTTGGGCGTCTTGGGGTTGCTCTGCTGTTGATCTGTGTGAGTTCCTAGTGTATTTTAGATGCAGTCAGATATATGGCTTGCAAACACTTTCCCCCATCCTTTCCCCTTATTTCCTTTGCTGTGCCAAAACTTGACTTTGACACAGTCCCGAGTGTCTGTTTTTGTTTTGTCACCTGTGCTTCTAGTGTCATATCAAAAAATCACTGCCAAGGCCAAGTTGGGAAGCTTTTCCCTGTGTTTTCTTGTAGGAGTTTTATGGTTTCAGATTTTATGTTTAAGTGTTTATAGTTGACCCTTGAACAATGTGGGGCTTAAGGGGCATCATCCACCCCCTTAAAGTTGAAAATCCATGTATAACTTTTGCTCATGAAAAACTACCAATAGCTTAATATTGACTTGAATACAGCTGACCCTTGAACAGTATTGTCTGGAATGACAGTTGATGAAACAACATCGTTGATGAAAGCTTATTTTGTACATAAGTAATACATACTGTATTCTTATAATGAAGTGAGAGAAAGGAAAATATTATTAAGAAAATCATAAGGAAGGGGAAGTATATTTACTGATTAAGTGAAAGGGAATCATCCCAGAGGTCTCCATGTCTCCTCATGGGGGAGAGGAGAAGGAAGGAGTGGGTCCTGCTGTCTCAGTAGTGTCAGAGATGGAAGGAAATCCTCATGCAGGTATACCTCGCCATTCCAGACAATATCATTCAAGGGTCAGTTGTATTCAAATTTGAGATGATTTTTGTTTGTGGTATGAGATGAGGGTCCAGGTTGTTCCTTTCCCAGCACCATTTGCCCATTTCCCCCACATTTGCCCGAGCCTTTCATGCAGGGGCTCTGGGACATCAGCAGTGCCCAGTAGTGCCTTGTCACCATGCCTTGTGTCCAGGCTCATCGCTGCCCACAGGGCCCGGGTTGCTCCACAGATGCCATCTTGGCCTTGTCCAGGGGTGGGAATGGGCCTATTGGGAGACTCTGCTAGGTGTGGCGGCTCTTGGCGTAGTGACCGTTGGTCACCTGTTACCCCTTGAGTCACACAGTGCAGCTTGAAGAGTCTTTGGGATCTTGTTTTGCGATGTTTCTCTCTGCCTCTATGTCTGCAGGCTCCTTGGTGCTAGCAGGAGGCAGTGTTTTCTGCCTTGCCCAGGGGGCAGATCCTCAGAGGGGCCTCTGCTGTCTCAGAGCAGAGAACATAAGTCTCCTCACTGTACCTGCCAGCTCATTTCTTTGCAGGAATCACGTGGCCAATTAGGACACCTTGTGGGGTCCTGGCACACAGTGGTGCTGGCTGGAGGGATGGAGGGGCAGCCCCTGGAGCTCAGCCTGTGTTCCACACACCTGCCCCTCCCTGCTCTCCACTGAGCTGTCTGTGATCTGTCCTATAGGAGGTGTGTAGGTGCAGGGACAAGCCTGGGGCGCTGTGAGGTGAGGGTGCCAGACAGTAGTCCAGCTACACCCTACCCTGTCCCAGGTGCTAGGTTTGGATTTAGGAAGTAATGGAGGAAATTGACAGGCTTCATGTAGGGGTGGAGGTGGCAGCATAGGCAGGGGTGGGGTGTAGAGCCTCCTTAGCTTTGTTTTGGACCTAAGGTGCTGGGGGAGTCCAGGCAGCTTTCAGGTGGCCATGAGTGTGCCCAGGATCTGAGGAGGGGTGAGCAGCTCTAGGACAGCAGGAGCTGGAGAGGCTGGGGAGGGCTGTGGGGTGTTGGATTTGGGAACACACTGAGCGTGCCCCATGTGTTTGGCACTGAAGGACAGGAGAGCGTGTCCCCAGAATGGGGATGGTTTGTTGGGCACTTCACACTGAGGAAGGGGGGCAGGAAGGGGACCTTGGTCTTCTGCCTGTTCTCTCACAGGCCCAGGGACCGAGTTGCAGGGGCGCCTGGGGAGGTCAACCTTGAGTTTTGCTCTAACATAATAATTTTCTTTGTTGTGTAAAATCTTAACAGAATTTGAGCCTCCTCTCCCTGGAGACGTGTCCTGCTAAATTGTGTCTCTTCTGGATCTGGTGCAGTGGTTTTCAACCTTCCTAATGCTGCGGCCCTTTAATACAGTTCCTGTGGGTGGCAATCCACAGGTTGAGAACCACTGATCTGGCGTGAATACTCAGCTGGCCTCTTCATTGGGCTCATGGAGGGAACTTTCATAGAGGAGCCCATCCTAGCCCATGTGGCGGGCATCCCTGTAGCCCACCCCTCATGCTCCAATTGTCCCCCTCCCTGCTGGGTGGGCGAGGGGCAGTTGCTGGTCTTGGCTCTCCTTTTGGTAGTGAAGTGCGTGACTTTGCGCTGTGCCCCTGCATTCCTTAGTGAGGCAGAAGGCATTTTCATGCCTTTACCACTGTTTGTGAGTTCTAGTCTATGATCTGCTCAAGTGGCTTGAGGCTGGGGACTGCCCTGGGAGTGTCTGGGTCGGACCTGGAGAGGCTTCTGTGGGTGCAGCCACAGCTGTAGCTTGTTGGGGCCATGGGGCTGTGCTTGCTGCAGGCGGCTCTTCTCCCTGAGAGTCTCTTAATCTTGAACGAGCCCTCACTGGAGTGCTCAGGTTCCTAGAGGTATAGTTGCCCTGCTGGTCCAGACTGTCCACTTAACCTGTTTGCATGCCCAGGAGCAGCTAGTGGTGTCCAGGGGCTGGAGCAGGGTACCTTCATGTACCTACCCTCTGGAGTTCTCATGGTAGCAGCCCTGGAGTGGTGTCTGCTCCTCTGAGGGACCTCGGTTTTGCTTGTTCTAGTGTGTGGAGTGAGTGGTGCCCTTTTGGATGTGCAGTTTGGGCATTGTCCATGCTGTCTGCTAGCTCCATCTGACTGTGCAACACAGTGCATCATGGGGGCTCCGTGGCACACATGCAGGTGTCAGTGTCAGCCATTAAGGTCAGTATTGGCTCAAGGACTACAGACAGGTTTCAGTGTGCACCCGGGAGGTCACTTCTTTCAGGTGGATAGTGGTGGGGATTGCTGAGGGGTAAGAGTGTTATTTACCTTTTTAGGAAGCTGCCAGCTGTTCTGTGTGTGACTCAAATGTCTGTTAGGGTATAGGAAGCAAGTTCCCTCCCAGTCATGGGCAAGATCTCTAGAAACTGGGAGACTAGAAAACACCTCCTGTTGGCACTTTCTTCCCAGGCCAGGCCAGGGTTAGCAGGGCACTGGTGTGGGGGCGCCAGCCACCCTCTGTTCCCGTGGGCGCTCCATTCTGGCTTCCCTCTGGTTGTCACTCTTGGAATGCAGGGAACTCCCACACCAGGCCCCTCACTCCATGTTCAGAGTTAAAGCAGTGCTTCTGATTAGAGGGCCCTGTGCCACAGTGGTGTGGCTATCTGTCCAAGGCCCTGGCATCTAGAGGAGCAGGCAGCCAGTGGGAGCTAGCCCCATCAGCCCTCCAGGGTGACCTGCCTCCCTGGCAGCCACAGCCACTTTATTTCCCCTTTACCAGATGTGCGAAGCCCAAGCCAGGCCTGCAGGTGGCCCTGGAGCAGGCTTCTTGCCTGATGTCCTCAGCAGGACAATGATGACACAGGCACTGACAGGACAGTTGTGGTTCTGTGGAAGCTCTCAAATCATAGGCTTTGACTGACATACTTCCCTGGGTTGGAGTCCAGATCAGTGCACAGGAGGCTGCCTGGCTGGCCCATGTGCCTGGGGCAGTGTCCTGAGGGTGCAATGTGCAGGGCTGAGAGGGTAGCTGATGGGTGGGGGTGCACCCCACCAGGGGAGAACTGGTGGGGTCCAGTTCTCTACCACTGTGCCTGCCTTTGGGGGGGGGGTGTGAGTCACACCTTTTCCAGGACTTCCCCAATGCCTCCCAGATTATAGGACTTGCTTCCATTTCTCTCCTGTATTTTTCTAGTAAAAGAATGTTTCTTACTCATTTTATTTTTTTTTTTTGAGGGGAAAAAATGCCCACCAAATATACTGATTTATAGTTTTTCTGTTTTTCCCTTTTTAGGTGCATAACCTGGAAGGGGCCCTACTGCAGGAATCTGGAGGAGGGGACTGGCCTGCTCCTTACTGGGGGTGGGGGTGTGTGGAGCCTGGCCCAGTTTTGCTGCAGTTTGTATCCGCTGGACAGTGGGTAGCTGGACAGGCCCCGTCCTTTTCCAGGGCAGCCTCTACACTGCTGTCTATGCTTGGTCAGGGTTTTTCCCACCTTTCTGTGGCCCCTACCTCCAGCACTGACAGATTTCTGTTGTTGCAGGTTAGCCCCTTTATTGGCATTGCATGTGCATACATAGCAGTGTCGTGATCTTAGGTTCATCCAGTGTCTGCATGTGTCCCCAGTCACCTCGTCTGTGGCTGAATGCTATTCCATGGGGTGGACACACTATCCCGTAGTGTGTCCATGTACCTGCTGGTGAGCATGTGGGTGGTTTTCCTTTTTGGCTGTTAAGAATTCAGCTGCTGTATATAACCACCTACACAATCATGCAAATGGCAAAACATAACTATAGTCCATAAAGTAGAAAGGAAAAGGAGAGAGAAGGGTGGGAAAGGAGAAATGGGAGAAGGGAGGGTATTTGGGGGGACCTTACCTAATGTGCATGATGCAGTGGTACATTTCAAAACTATTAAGAAATGAGTGTAATTGTGATGGATGTGTTATTTGGTTCAATGTAAACATTTCACATTGTATATCAAAGCAGTTGCCTGAACCCCATAAATGCATCAAGGTACAAAGTTATGATTTAATAAAAAATAATTAATTATAAAAAGAAAAGAATTCAGCTGCTGTGAACACTTGTGTTAGATCTTCATATAAACATGCACTTTCTACTCTTTAATTAAATGCCTAAGTGGAGCATCTGGATCCTGTGAGAGGTGTGTGTTTAACATCCTGGGAAACGGCCAAATTGCCTCTGGGGTTGTGCTGCTACTGTGGGTTCCTAACAGCTGTGCACGGCAGTTCTCAGCATCCAGCACGAGTGGTCTCTGAAACTCAGCCGCTCCAATGGCGTCTTGCAATTTGATTCAGCAGCTCACAAGGACGCTGGACATCTTCTCGTGCTCATGTTGCTGATCATATCCTCTCTCTGGTAAGGTGTCTGTTCCATCTTTTGCCCATTTTTATTGGGCTGTTTGTCTTGTTACTGAGTTGAGAGGCTGTTATATATTCCAGATACGTGTCCTTTCTCAGCTGTGTCTTACATAAGGTGACCAGACATCCTGCTTTTTAACAATTTGTCCTGTGTCCCACGGTGCTTAAAAAGTCCCAATTTTTGGAAAGAATGCACAACAAGCTAGGGAACGGCAAGAGAACGGGAAGGGAATATACGGTTTTCAGCTGCCATGTGGCTATTTCACCAGGATATGAGTTTTATATTATTTTTGTTAATTTTATAACGTTAAACTTTAATAATAACAAATCATTGTTGAGAACTGATTATCGAGAACTGCTTATCAAAGTTTGCATTGTTGATCAGTTGTTAGAATTCATCACCATTGTTTGGACTTAATGAACAATGTCACTTTTTGGCATTGGCAACGACGAAAACATTTTGTAACTGTCTCTCAGAGGATACACATCCTACTGCGTGCTACTGCTAGTTAAACAAATGATGTCAACAAATCAGCTATTTGGGCACAGCGCCTATGGCTCAAGTGGCTAAGGCGCCAGCCACATACACCTAAGGTGGCGGGTTCGAATCCAGCCCGGGCCCACCAAACAACGATGGTTGCAACCAAAAAAATAGCCAGGCGTTGTGGCGGGCGCCTGTGGCCCCAGCTACTTGGGAGGCAGAGGCAGGAGAATTGCTTGAGCCCAAGAGTTGGAGATTGCTGTGAGCTGTGATGCCATGGCACTCTACCCAGGGGGACAGCTTGAGGCTCTGTCTCAAAAAAACAAACAAATAAAAAACAGCTATTCAGATAATTTAGGTAAGTAATTTATTTATTTCATGAATTTAGCAGACAGTACTCATATCATTTATATTTTATAGTGGCGGAAAAAAGTCTAGCACTGGCCTTGAAAGTGACACTTACGACTTACAAGGTATCATTATTAAAAAATATATTGATAAGGAAAAGGTTAAATCTTGGGCATTAACAGAAGTCACAATAGAGAACAAATGGTTAAAAATGTTTCATCATTTTGAAACAAACCATGTTCCATACAATAATGCACTAAAAATTATGGGATATGCGCTGTCCTTACCAAGAACTAATGCTGTGACTGAATGCGTTTTTTCCTACGGTAAATAAAGTGTGGACATCAGAAAAATCATAATTAAGTGTTGAGACTTTGAAAGCCATTTTATGTGTGAAATATAATTTAACAAATTCTTGCAAAAAATTTCATGACCTTTTAAACAACGACAGCAATCTACTAAAAAAATTCACTCAAATGAGAAATATGCGAAAGAATAAAATAATACTATACATAATTTTTTAATGTATATTTGTAAATTGTACTTATGTTAAAATTCAAAAAAATTACAATACTATTTTTTGCATTCTGTGAAAATTTTTGTTGCTCTATATAGACCAAATTTTTAATTAAGACACCCCCCCACCCCCCCACCCCCGGTCAATGGTGTCCTGCTTTACCAATGTTAAAATCTGGTCAACTTAGTCTTATGGAACTTCTCCTGGTGCAGCTGGTCCTTATTAGGCCACTTCAGCTCACTGGTGTCTGTCCATTTTTCATTGCTTTCCATGGTTTTATTTTGGATGGCTTCCATCTCTGTGTCCTGGTACCCACCAGTCCCAGCTTTTAGCATTGTTCAGTCTGCTATGATCCTATACAGAGTATTTTTCATCTCAGATATTTTAGTTTCTACATTGAGAATTTTACTTTGGATTTTTAAAAAAAGTTTTCCTTCTCTCTTTTTATCAACTTCAGTGCTTCTCCAGCTTTCTGAGCAGATGGAACACAGCCGTGGTGGTGTTTCAAATGTCCTATTGGCTACATCTCTCATTTGGCCGTTTGGGGGCTTTCTCTTTTGACTGATTTGACTCTCAATAATGGATTATTTTCCCTGCCTTGAAAACTTGGTAATTTTTTATTAGATGCAAGACATTAAGAACTCTGCCTTTTGTAAAAATTTTTTAGAGATCCAAGTATTCTTATTTTTTAATTTTTTATTAAATCATAACTTTGTATATTGATGCATTTTATGTAAATATTCTTGAGCTTTGTTTCTTGGACTCAGCTGAATTCTTTGGAAAGAGTTTATCCTGTTCAGCTTTTTGCTGCGCACTTCGTGGGATCCTGGCAGTGTTTCATTTAGGGCCGACTTTTGTCACTGATGCAAACCCTTTCAGAGCACCTCACCTGGGGTCCATGTTTTTGGGAGTGTCCATCCTGCCTGTAGGAAGAGCTGTTCTCAGCCATGTGTACTTCAATTGTCCTCAGCCCTGATGCTCTTCTCCATGCATTCTGGGGTGCTCTGAGGAGGGCTTAGTGGGGCCCTTACAACACTCTCCTCCTGGGTGCACAGAGGATCCTGAGACCCCCAGCTGTGGGTGGTTCTCAGAAGCCCACTGGACTTCTCAGGTCATCTCTGCTGTCCAGACTTCACAGCAGGAGCCAAGCAAGCATCTCTCCTGTCTCCACTGCTATCTTCTGTGCCTGACACCCATCAGTGCCATGGGAACCAGCAGGTGGCACTTTGTCCAGTGGTTGGTTGTTTCAGGTAGGGAATGGTTTCCTCAGGGTGTATGATGCTCCTGTGGCTGCTGTGTCTTCCACTGTTCTTGCCAGAAGCTCTGAGGGACGTAGCAGTGCATAGGTTATACAGGTTCTGTACACGTTTCTCAGATCCCGAGTCCCGACATGTGCCCACCAATTGCCTGGCGCTTCTCAGATCCCAAGTCCTGACTGATTGCCTGGCTCCCAGGCTTTTCATTTGGCTGTCCATTCCTAGCTCCCTGGTTTCTTGGGCAGGTAAGGGAAATGACAGGTGTGGTTTCTGCACAGGATGGATAGCTACAGTTGGGGGTCACCCTGAACCCTCCCCTCCTTTAAGTTGGCTGCAGACACTCAAGGAACCTACAGAGAAAGACACCTGGGCAAACCCTTGGGTACGCTAGGGATCATGGCAGTGCACCAGGGGCATGGCACGGGCACAGTGCTCAGGGCTAAACCACCTGTGCGCGGAGCAGCAGGAGTCTGTACCATGGCAGTTGCTGAGGACAGCTCCTGTGCTCATGGGATGCTGACACTGTGCTTCCTTCCAGTAGCCCCGGCTTCACCCACTACTCTCACTGCACATAGATCACCACACCGGGCAGCTTGGGCTGCTGAGACAACTGGTAGGACTGAGGGAAAGGATGAGGGACCTGTACTCTCTGGAGGCTTCTCTCTGTGGCCTGGCCCGAGCACCATCTCTGTGCGGGGCTGTTCATGAGCTTTTAGAATAGCTCGGCAAGGGCGCTATGGGGGCCACGCGGCCAAGCTCAGGCCACCACCGTGGTTGTTCCCTCTCACCCACATTATCCTGAAGCAATCTCTGGACATAATCATGTCGCTTCTGGGTGGTTCATCCGTCTACAAAGGGTAGGGATTCTTTCCCTCAAACACAAGCTGTCTTATCCTCTTGCCAAGGTGGTGGTTTCTTAGTAATGCTGAGGAGCAGTGGGCAGCCACATTCCTCCAGGTTCTCAGCGCACTGGAATGTGGCCTCAGATAAGGTCTGTGCGTTGTGTTGGGTGACAGATGTTGAAATTCTTTTTTAACTTTATATTTTGAAATTACTATAAGCTCACAAGAAGTTGTGAAGTTAGCACGGGGACTCCTGCACAGCATCCTGTATGATCATGACACCGTACCCGGAAGCAGGGCTGGCTCGGCGTGAGACTGCAGCTCCCGCAGTGCTGGGGCATTTCTCGGGCCCCCTTTGCTGTTAATTTTTCCTTCCAGTTGTTGTGTCGATGGCACCAAGTTGCTCCTCTGTGCTGTCCCCACCACTGCCTCCCATGCTGCCATGGAGCACCTTCCTCTTGTTCTGCAGGACACACTGGTAGCTGCATTTAGACTTTGGTCACATCCAGGCTCTTTTTTATTTGGAGGTGGGATGACTCTGTGGGTGGCACTGTTCTTCCAGAGGGAGGTGTGTGGTGTCCAGCTGCCTTTCGGTGTTATTTGCCTTTACTGCTGACCGCTGGCTAGAATCTTCCTCACCTTATGGTTATGAGGCCTTACCCGTACCTTGCTCCAGGACGGCCTTAGGCACCCTCTTCACACACCATCACAGGGGGTGTTAGGGCTTCGGCATATGACTTTGAGAGGGGTAAACATTTCAGCCCATAGCAGTAGCCTTTTGATTTAAAGTGTCAATATTGAAGTCTAATGCAAATATAATTTTCTTTCTCTTATACCTTAACTAGTTTTTTTGTCAAAGGACCTTTTTACTGACCTCTAAGTCCAACCATTTGACTAGAATACCTCAGTGTGGGTTATTCAGCTTTGATTTGTACCCTTTTGATATGTAATTTCAGATCTTTTTTTCCTTTAATTTTATCTGCTACTTTCTCTCTACTGCTTTTCTTCCTTTAGAAAAACTTGTTTTTAAAAAATTATCATATAATTTACATGTAATGAAATGCATAGATCTCAAGTGTCCAGTTAGAAGAGTTTTGATGAGCATGAACCTCCTACAGCCTACACCCCTATCAAGATGCAGAATTTCCCCATCATCCAGAACATTCTGCCACCTTCCTTCCCAGCCAGCCCTCTCGGTTGTCGCTATTTTGATTTATGTTCATCAAAGACTAACTTGGCCTTTTCCAGAACATTATATAAATGGAATCAGATGGTTCCTACTCTTTTGTTTCTGGCATTTTGCCCCCTAAGCACAATGCCTGGGGTTTAGCTGTGTGTTGTATCTCATCCAAGGAGCAGTGTGTGAACATCCCACGCTTTGTTAGCCGTCCTGCCTTTGGGCTGTCCCAGCTGCCGGCAATTGGGAATAGTTGCAGTGAACATCTCCGGTGTGTGTTTCTGTTTCTCTTGGGTAAGGATTGGAATTCCTGGTTTTGATAATAAATGGATATATATTTAACTTTAAAAGAAACTGCCAACTATTTCCTAAAGTAG